GTTACTATTATTTAAAGAAAAAGAGAGTTGAAAAAGAAAAAGAGCAACCAACGATAAAGGCAAGTAGGTGGTGGGTAGTGACAGCGTAATAAAGAAAAAAGAAAAAAGAAAAGGTGCAGTGTGCAGAGTTGAGAGGGACACAACACAACCTTTGCTTTTGAGCTCTTTTTCTTAAATTCCATCAAACTCAAGGAGAAGGGAATCCAGTAGTTTATTATCCCCTTCTTCTTTTCTTTTTTCACAGTAATAGTACTCTACCAAATGCCTTACCCCGGAGGCTTCTCTCTAATGGCTAACCAGTGTTTCTTAAAAAAAAAAAAAATTTGCTGAACATTTTTAAAGCTTTTTGCAGTTGGACTTGTACTTCAACTATATAAGTAAAAAAAAAAAAAAAAAAATTTTGCTGAAAATTTTTAAACTTTTTGCAGTTGGACTTGTACTTCAACTATATAAGTACTATTTTTTTAATATATTACAATTATTTATTTACAAATTAATTGGAGATAAAAGAAACGGTTTACATGTAACTCATAAAAAGTAAATAGTCTTAATTCAGAATTTAATGTCATTAGGTGGAAGCTTTAATTCAGAATTCAATGTCACTGGGTAGGAATGGGCCATTTAGTACTATTCTTTTAAATGATGCTTAAAAAAAATAGATTAACTCTTTTAAATGAAATTTCTATTAAAAGTTTTATGTGGGTTTTTCCAATTGTATATTTTAAACATTAATTACAATTAATATAACTAATATATTAATTACATTCTTAAAAAACACAAATTAAAAAAATTCTACTTCTAGTAAAAGCTTTTTTAAATAGAAACAAAAGAGATTGAGGCTTCTCTTATAAGAAGTTTTGCAACTATTTTAAAATGATGCTTATAAGTGCTCTGAATGTTTTGTATAAGAGTTCAAGATTCCTACACACCCTAACACTTGAAGTAATGCGCATAAGCATTTTCTTGTTGTGATCCATTGGTAGTTTATTGGTAATCACTATAGTCCAATAGGACTATCGATGGATTGCATCCTTAATTAATAGTCGAATCATATCAAAAGTAAGATACTAACTTAATTTTTAACTTCTTATTTCTAACCATTTTTCTTGTAAAAAAAAAAAAAAGTAATGCGCATAGATTTAAAGTAAATAAAATGAATAATTATTCGAATTTTGTTTGTCTATATGTACGGTTCGGTATACGTAAGATATTGGTTGTCTCTTATGACAAGATTGGAATATATTCCTCTTCTGCCATACAACATTACAAATTCGTATTTGAGTCTTTGGCAAATCTAAGTCTGGTTCAATTTATCAGTTGTTACTCTTTTACGTGTATATATGTAGTTTATAATTTGTGATTGGTTGTAGTTCTATTATTCATTAATTAAGTGTTTTATTTTTTTAATAACATGGGCATCTAACTCCCTTTACCTTACTAATCTATTATTTATAAATCGCTTCTTCCACTTCTTTCATATATATAAATGTGATTTATAAATAAAGATGTAAGTTTTATTTTTTTAAATAATGAGGGTAACTTATTAAAGTTATGGGTTTTTTAATTTATAATTTTATGGTACACGTTGAAATCATAATTATTATATTTTTTATATTAATTAATATTAAAAAATATAAAAATTATCATTAATTTTATCAATAATATTAGATGAATTATTTTAATTGAAAAAATTTTAAATAAATGTTAATTTTTATATTTTTAATATTAATTAATATAAAATACTAATAATTATATTCTTAATTTATATTTTAAAAATATATAATAAAAAAACCGTAAAATTATTTACAAATTACAACTAAATGACAACGAGAAAATAATAATAAACTTAGCGTTTTTATTTTTATTTTTTTAAGAGTTTGTACCATGCGTATGCGTATCTTGACCAGTGTCTAATGACTTATGCAGTAATAACCACACGTAATTAAAAATTATTTTTTTCTCATGGTTACGTAATTAAAGTTCTTAAGCTGTTGCTTTCAATACGTAAACGGATAAATTAATTTCGCTTTTTTTTTTAACACAATAAAAAAATTATTTATCATCACTTATCTCACTCCACTCATAAGTACTTTTGTTATTTTAATTTTATGGGTTATTTTAATTTATATTTTAAGAGATATAAATTAAAAATATCATTTTAGTATTAATTGTCATTAAAAAAATAAAATTAATTAATTAATTATTCAATTAAAACAATATATGTAGTATTGATAATAAAATTAATATTAATTTTTTTAATACTAATTAATATAAAAAAAATATATTAATTACACACTAAATTCTAATTTCATTTAGTCTTTTCTAATCCTGTGTCCTAACCGTATATTTACTTTTTTTTATTATTAAATTATATAAAAAATTATAAAAGTAAATTTTATTTTTAACATTGATATTATGCAAAATGATTTAATTAAATAATTAATAAAATTTAAATTAAATTAAATTTTTTTATATAAATTGATAATAAAATAATATAATAAATATATTCTTTAACTTATGATATGAAATTAGATTGTGATATGACATTAGGTAGGATTAGAAAAATTCTAATTTGATTTGGTGCACCGCAGTCTCTAAATTACCAACCAAAAGCCCATGCAAAGAAGGCGATGCAAGGAATGCAAGGGAGTCCGTCCCAAGCTTAAATGAGGCCAGCGCCGGACAGTTAAGTAAAACCTCACAGAGTTTTTGGTTATTAGGTCTAGTCCATTTCCGTAAGGGACTGGACTACTGACTAGGGGACTAAGGTGGGCTTCAATGGGCTACACTGTTTTGATTGTGGGTTAATGATGTGACTTGAGCTAGCCCGTGGAAGCAGTAAAGGAAAACGGGAAAAAAAAAAAAAAGGAAAAATCCTCCTCCCTTGGCAACGGTATAGACAAGGAGTAAGTAAACCAGAAGCCGAAGCCAAGG